GTGTGTGTGTGTGTGTAGGGGGGAATGGGGATGGGGGGGGAGGGGAAAGAGGAAGGGGGAGAGGAGAGGGGGAATGGTGGTGAAGGCGGTCGACGAGAGGGGTAGGGCGGGGGAAGATGGACTTGAGGGAAAACAAATGAATGCCAGGAACAAGAGATTGTCAATTGCAGATGCCCAAATTGCGGACCACCTACAGGAGTATCAAAAAAGCAAGGGGGCAAGGGGAAGGAGGGGAAAGACGAACCAGGGGGAAGGAGGGGGAGGAGGGGGAAATCATATGCAAAGAAACAAAGAATGAACTGCCGACGGACGTCCTGCGGGGCAGGAGGGACCGGACCATGTCCGTCCCCCCCGCTGTTGGGCCGCCACCGGGGCCCCCTGGACCGCCTGAAACCCAACACACCACGCAAACCCAACACACCAAGCACTTTGGGCCCCGCTTTCCCCTGTTTTCTCCACCAATTCGCCGCCCTCGCCGCCCCCCTCCTCCCCTTTTCCTCAATTCCCCCCTTTCCTCCATGTCGCTCTCCTCACCACCGCCCTCGATTTCCCCCCCCTCCCCCTCCCCTTCCTCTCCTCTCCCCTCCCCCCTCACTCACCACGCTGCCCCCCGGGCCCCTGCTGCCCATCACACTGCCAGCCACCCCCGCAGCCTTCGCCATGCTGCTGCTGGTCAGGCTGTAGTCAATGGGGTTGGCCTGGGGGTGTGTACGGCAGGAACCGGGGGGAAGGGGGGTTGGGGGGTTTCGGGGTTAACACGGGTCCTACGATATTGCCAGGGTCGGTACGGAAAAGACACGCGAGGTTGCGGCTTGATTCGGGGAGGAAGGATTAGGGGCAGGGGATGGCAGGGGAAGAAAATCCGGGAAGTAACCACAACGGCGATCAGTAGCAGTAGCAGTAGCAGTCGTACCTCGTAGGAACGGCAAGAATGGCAGTACTAGCAGTACAGTCATACACGGTCATATTAGCAGCAGTAGCGGTGGGCGAAGGAAACGAGGCGGAGGAGGGAGCCGCCTCAAGAGGCTGGAGGGTGGGTGGGCAGCAGCACCCGGGTGGGAAGTGGCTCTCGGGGGGGGGCAGCGACCGTGTGAGATAGGCCGGGCTGCAGAACGCACAACGGGAAGAGCACGGGAGAGGAAGGTGACTGCGAGCTGCCAGCCACCCCCTTACCCTCGTTGCTCTCGTCCCTCTCATACTGCCATACACAAACGCACGTGTATAACACAGGCTTCCCACGCGCCCACACATACATACACATACAGACATACACAGACGCCCCACATTTCCCCTCTCCCACCCCAGCACACCCCCACCTACACCCCGACCTGCATATCCAGGGAGGCCGCCTTCCGAAGCTCCGCCACACTGACACGAAGCTCCTTCCTGCAGTAATGCAGATGTACGGCACCATGGTACGGCAGCCGTACGGCTGAGCCCAACTCAAACCCATGCCCGACCCCGAACCAGCGCGCCCGAACAACAGAGGCAAATCCGACCCGCGATAGAATAGGAGGGAATACAGGAGCTGAGAGCAGGGATAACATTAAGGGACCATTTGCCCTCCACTCCCAACACCATCATGGCCTCCCCCTTTCGGCCCTCCACCCCCTCTTCCTCTTCCGCGCGTAAACCAAAACCGAATGCCAGCCAGGGGGATCGGCGGCCCCCCCAAGTCCCGCTCCTCTCCCCTCCCCTCCCCTCCTCTTGCCCTGGCAGCAGCTTCACTCGTTCGTGGTTCGTCTTTCTCCCTCCACCCACCCACCCACCCACCCACCCAACCTACCGCAACAGCATGTTCATGGGCTGGCAGTACGCGGCGTGTAGTCGGGCCATGGCCGCGGGGTCTAGGGCTGCCACCACTCGCACCAGCTCGCTGTGGCGGCTCATGGCGGAGCGAAGGCGGTCGTGGGATGGGGGCGCCAGTCGGGAAGCCTCTGAGCAGCAGCAACCAGGGGAGGGAGGTACGTGGGGGCCGCATACGTGTGTGCGTGCGTGTGCATATGTATGTGTGTGTGTGTTTTAAGCCGTGTGCGCGCGCGTGTGTGTATGTATGTGTATGTGCATGTGCGTGTGTGTGTATTTGTAGGGGAAAGGATGGGCGGGGAAACAAGGGGGGAAAGGGAGCGGGGAGCGGGGAGGGTGGAGCGGGGAGAGGGAAAATACCCTGTGTACGATGATGTACGATGATGTAAGATACAAAGAAGCCTCAAACTGCCGCCGTACTCACTGTCCGTGTTCGCCGCCAGTGCCGCCACCACCTCCTCCACACTCGCATTGAACACGGCCTTCAGGTGGGCCAGAGCTCGGGTCACGAAGCGGGAAGCTAGAGACTCCAGAGCCTCACGGGCCTCCTGTACACGTGTGTATGTGTATGTGTGTATGTGTGTTTAAATGAATTTAGCCGCAAAAGGTAGGTGTTAAAGATGGCAAACGAGCAACTTGTCGCAGCATGTCGTGGGCGGGGCATACAAACTGGATAATAGTAACAGTAACTAACACAACGCATCACACGTCACGCGCCATGTCTACCCCCTCCCCCTTCCTCACCCCAGTTCCTAAACCCTCTCCCCCTCCGCCCCCCGCCCCCTTCGTGCTCGTGGGAACGTCCGTTTGTTCGTGTGCCCTTACTCCCGATCTCCCTCCCCCCCTCCTCCTCGTCCTCCCCTGACTTCTGCATGCGAATCTGATCTTCCTCCCCTCTGGGGCCCCCTCTCCCCCCATTCCGTTTTCCCCCGCCACACACATTCACTCACACACACATACACACACAGTTAAACACACATTCAAACACACATTCAAACACATACTCACTCACATACACACATACACACACACCATCCCGCGTGTAAAGCCATTCATGCACTAATCCCCAAATGGCCGTTTCCCTCACCGTGGCTCCGAAGATCACCAAAACACACCACCCACCACCCACCTGCGCCACCCGCATTTGCAGCAAGTAGAGCGACAGACAGCCCGGCGCGGAGGGGTCCAGGCGCCTCAGCTTGGACGCAAGCTGCCAGGCGGCTCGAGTGATGAGGACCAGGCGACTAAGGGAGGGAGAAGGAGGGAAAAGTAGAGGAGAGGGTGCGTGTCCGGCCCTCAGGTCAGGTATGGGGGTAGTACATTGCTTACGCACACACATGCTTCCACGCGGGTTTTCCCCAGGCGCTGGCTGCACAGCTGCGCTCACATCCACCCACCCCGCCTCGCGCTGCGTACCCCGGGAAACCATTACCCCCTACCAACCCCCTACCCTCCCCAACCGTTTCGCGGAGGAAGGGTGCCGCGGGGAACCCCCTCCGCCATTGCCACCCCTCTGTTTACCTTTAAGCTTAACAGCCAACAGTCAACGGCCAACCGCTAATCGCCTACCTGTCTTTTCCAAACGGGGGGGACTCCAGCGCCGCCTCCGCGTCCGGCGGTAGCCGCAGATCGGACAGCAACCCCTTTTGGGTAGCAGCGTGTACGAGGGGGGTGTGGGAGGAGGGAGAAGAAGGGGCACGAGGGGTGGCGCATACGCACATACACACACACGCACACATAGGGGCTGTTTGGTGGAGGCTGATAGCTGCAGGGAAGGCGTTAGGCGTCTCCACTCAACGTACACACCTTCATGCACATACATGTACATGCACATACAGATTCACATACAGACCCACATACAGACCCACATATAGACCCACATACAAACCCACATACAGATTCACATACAGACCCACAAGCAGATGCACATACAGACCCACACCTGCAGTGTGTTGAGCAGTCGTGTGTTGTTCCTGCTCTGCAGCTCCAGGCTGTTGTTGGAGCTCTCTATGGCGGCTATGTCCTCACGCATGTGGCGCAGCTTGGTGTCGAACACGGTGAGGTACTCGTCCAGGTCCTCTGAAACACGTCATCATTACCATCGTCATCACCATCATCATCACCAGGTTGTTGGGGCGTCAGGGGATGCAGTAAGGGTTTTGGTTCTGGTTGCGGGGCCGCGGGGTGGCTCAGGGTTAGAACAGCGCGGGTGAACTGGTGAACTGAGCCGCGAGAAGGAACTCGTACGAGGTGAGAGAGAGAGCGTGTGTGTGTTATGTGAGAAAAAGAGAGAGAGAGAGAGAGAGAGAGAGAGGGAGGTGTGGGGATATGGTGTGAGCCCTTTCAGGAAACAAAAAGCCACCACTTCCAACACCCCCAGAACAAAGCTTCTCCATCCGTACCACCACCCTTTCCTCCCTACAGCAGAAGTCCAGCAGGGGCACCAAGAGCGGCCGTAGGGCTTGTTTCCCCCTTGGTCTCTTTCCCCGCTAGTTAGTTAGTTAGTTAGTCACCTAGTTGGTTTCCGGCGGCCGCCCACCGCGTCCCACCCGCATCCAGTCCCCCCGATCCGTCCCTCCGTCCCGCCACCCCCACCCCCTCTCCCACCGAGCAGCCCCTGGGTCTTGCGTATCTGCGCCACCACCGCCTCCGCCGCCGGCACCGCCACCATAATGGAGTGCACGTTGGCAGCCTTGGGTTGGGTTGGGTTGGATCCGGGGGAAAGGGGTGGGAAAGGGGTTTGTCGGGTAAGTGACCGGTGTGTGTGTGTGTGTGTGTGTGTGTGTGAGAAAGGCGAAAGGGGGAAAAAGGGAGGAAGGGGGGAGGCGGAGGGGGGTAAGATGAACCACTGGCGAATGAAGCGGATAACAGAGATATAGACGGATGGATAGTCCAGGAGAAGACAAATGCTGCCGGAGGGAGAGGGGGGAATGCGTGTGAGCATGTAAAGGAACATGTAACGAATTTCCCCTTCCCCTCGCATTTCTGTCCCCAACAAATACAACCGCGTAGCTTCGTCGGCAGCTTCTCCCCCCGGACCGCGCCATTTCCCTCCTTCATTCGCCTCTTCCCCCACGGCAATCGATTCTCCCTTCTTGAATGCGATTCTCTCAACTCTCGCCCACACCCTCACACACACCGACATGCGTCCGCCCTTCCCCCCCTCCCTCACCTCCAGCGCCTCGTGTTCCGCCGCCAGCCGCTCCTCAAACTCCGCCACATCCCCCACCCCCATCGCGAACATATCCAACAGCTCCTCCAAATCCCTCTCCTCCTTAGCGCTCAGCAATACACGGGCGCCGCCGCCACCGCCGCCGCCCCCAACCCCCCCAGCACCTCCTCCTCCGCCTTCACCATCGGAGCCGCCACCGCCTTTTCTCGACGTCAAGTACGGCAGGTGTGCGGCACCGAAACATAAGCGGAGGACAACACCGCATAGGTTCCGAGTGGTTGTGGTTGGGGGGGGGATGTAAGGGCGGAGGACATGGCGGCAATAGCGGCGACAGCGGCGAAGGGGCATGAAGGAGGGAGGACAGAAAGGAAGGGACATGAAAGGACGCCTGGTCATCATCCAAGAGAGGTAAACGGCAGGATGAGCCTTGGGGTACAGGAGCGGGATCAGGCAAAACGGGCATGGGGGGTGAAAAGGAGATAGGGAAAAAGACGGGGAGGGGGACCGACGTGAGACGGAGGGCGAGCGGGTAGGTCCGACGCGTCTTGGGTTCGTGTCTGTTTTTCCCCCTTTCCCCCTCCCTGGCCCCCAAGCTCACAAAGGCACTAACACACACAAGCACACAACTACTCGCACACCCACTCACGCACCCACCCGCTCACCCGGCAGCAGCACCTCCCTCGCGAAGGCGCCCAGAGCCGGCAACACCCCTCCCTGGTGACTGAGCCACCAGGTATCCACCTCCCCCACATCGGCACCCGTGAAGCGCGGGAGCTTGCTGCTGTATTGCCTGGGGGGATTGAGGGGGGAAAGACGAACCACACACGATAGCAGCTGCTGCCAGGGCAAGAATGTACCAAACGTAGAACTGACCGAAAGGCGTCCGTGAAGGAAAGGGGGGAGAGGGGGGCCGCAAGAAGGGAAAGGCGGCAGCGGCAGTGACAAGATTACGGCGTCGTGCAGTAGCAATGTTGAACAACAGAAAAATGGTGGATACCGACATACTTACGGATATACCCACTTCTCTTTGGGCCGTTCCTCTTTCCCCTCCCCCCCCGGGCACTCCCAAACCCCGGTGCTCGACAGCAGGGGTACGACAGCCCGGATCCGCCAGAAGCCTACGTTAACTGCCACCAACCAACCCAACTGATTCACGATTCAACGAACTAACTGCATAACCGTACCTGAGGAGGTTAACCAACAGTGCCAGCACCAGCTGTAACTCCTCGTGGCTCCGGAACTTAAACTGATTAACCACCTCACCGCGAGTGCTGTAACTGCCGCTGTCGCTAAAACGCAGCTCCAGCAGATGTACGGGATTGTGTTCGTACTTGTAGGCCGGTACGACAATCTCCGTAATGCTTTTGAGGGGGTGGGATTTGCTAGCCGCGACGGCGGCGGTGGCTGCCGCGGTCGCGGCCGTGCTGCTGCCTGCTCCCCCTCCGCCGCCGCCTGCCGCTGTTACAACCGACGGTGGTGGCGGCGGAAACCCGGTGGTGGCGTGCTCGCCGGCGGGTTTGCAGGTATGGAGTATGGGTTTAAAGCTGCGGGACTGTTTGCTGCGGCGAACGGTGAGACACAGCAGCCGCGGCTGGGGGGCTTCCTTGGCGAGAAAGGTCTGTAAAGCGGCAGCAACGACAACAAAAACAGGAAGAACAACAACAGCAACGAGAACGGCAGCGGGATTGGGGGCGCCAGCACATGTATCATATACGTAGAAAGAGAAGAGGGGCTGAGAGAAGCGGGTGGCGAGGAGTGCAAGGAAAGCATAAAAATTCTTTCTTCAGCTCCATTCCTCCTTTTTTCAGAGGGAAAATGTGAAATGTGGTGACGCATCTTTACCACAATCCTCTTTTGGGGGGTTCCATTGCAGGTCTGCAAGAAGAGGATGGCAGAAATGCCAGGTCCATTTCTCTTCTTTCACTTCCACCATGTCTCTCATTCTAGTTGATAAGGGGTGGTTTAGGGAAAGAGCAAAAGAACCCACATGCGGTATGAGGAAGCTGCGAGTAATGGGGCCAGAAGAGGTATGGAGACGTAAAAGCCACGGTTTCGGGACGGATAAGGCGGGCGTTGCGATGGGGGCCATGGCTGGGGACTGGGCGCGAGTCGACCGGGTCAAGAGGCCTTGAGGGCTGCTGGAAAGCAAGTGAACCCACATGGGAAACATGCATCCCTTGGCTATCGTGCAGGATTTTGTAAGAGCAATTTTAAGACCGGGATCTGCTAGATAAGAGGCGGTGGGAAGTGGAGGTCATGAGAGGCGGTGAGAAGTGGAGGTAATGATGGACTGTTGATTGATAGAGGGCTGCTAGTTTTGGCTTGGCTGGAGAGGCTGGACCGCGACGCAGAGGAGCGAACGTAGCTAATGATGTGGAAGGGAGGGACATCTAGCACAGGCGGTTCTGGTCAAGGGCCAGCAGCTGTCGGTTCCACTCCCCCGCGTGGCCGTACCTTCCCGCCGAGAGCCTTCAGCAGCTGCGCTCCCGTAGATTCTCCCTGCTGCCTAACTTTTAAAACACAAAAAGCAGCTATGAGGATTTCGTCTGTGTTGGAGAATAGTGCCTCGGCTTCCCGCTGGAGGCCAGCATCAACTAAGCTTTTTCCGCTCATGGCGGCTTTGGCAAGTGTGCGATTTGATCGTGGTTATGCATGTTTACCTACCTTTACACAGTCTGAATTAAGTTAGTCCCATAAGACAGGTTTAAGTTGAGCGACGGGTAGCTTGTACGGCGTTAACGTTGGACGTCTAGTTCATAAACGAGTTGACAATATTCTATGAAACATGTCCTACATCCTTCCACAGAGGAGTTTATTTCTTGAAGTTTGCGCATATCGTCGTTCAGTGACCTGTGACGTAGGCATCGCCGAGACCGTGCTGCTCTGCGTGTAGAGACTTGGTGCCCTAAGCAAGATGTTCGGCCATATCACCAGGGCTGCTTCGCGCCCAGCTGTTGCTGCGGCAGCTGCAGCGGCTGCTGCAAATGCTGCGCAGGGTTCTGTTCAGGCTCGGGCGCCACCACAGGTGTGAGCAGCTCTCGCCAGCAGCCCAATCATTTTGTTGCTTTAGACTTCCTAAGGAAGGGTTCCGGCATAACGAGACCACAGAACAAAGCAGAGCAAACACGGCGGTACCTTGTCTACCTATGCGTGTATTTATGTTTGTTATCTGCCTGTATGCGAGGTCTCCCCCGCCGTGTCTGCTCCCGCGTAAACTTTGGGGTTCATAAAACGAGCTCGAAACAATTGCCTCAAGAACGATATTTTTAGCTTTCACCACTCTAGTAAAATTGCGGTATTGGTCGTTCCCAAACACAGGGTGCGCGTCAAGCTGGAGCGCATCCGCCTGTCCACAGCAAAATTGTCGACCGTGATACCGAGGATTGGATTATGGCCGAACTGAAGGACGAGGTGGTTCTTTTCCAGCCCTTTGATGGCAGGGAGGTGGAAGAGGCCGCCAGCACCGTCATGACGCTCTGGGCCGGCAGGTGCAACATTGTCACTCCTGCCGTTTGCCATATACCGCCAAAGAAAACGCCCCTTCTCCCTCTTCCCCCGCTGCCCAACCGTGTTCCGTGCATCCTTCATGTTTCCTCCTTTCCCCCTAACCCAGTACCGCCTTGTGCTCACTTCTTTGCATTATTGGAGCACCGCAGGACGCGACCCAAATCTCCAAAACCTCCAATCCACAATTAACAATCAACGAAATTTCCAGCAATCCAAAACCTCACCATTCCCAGTCCTGCATGAAACAACCCAAGTACTCTCCTCGCCGGAGAAAAACTTCTGACCCAGATCGCCACACAGTTTTTAAGGTACTTCCAAGTATGGTCATATGTCCTTCTGTGCTCCTCGCAACCCCCTGCTACAGGGCCCCCAGCACGCCCCGTTCGGGCCCCATAATCACCGAGCCCGGTGAGGACGCCGACGGCGGCAGCAGCAGCTGCGGCGAGTATGGCGATGACCTGTTTGCCAATGCCGTGATTGAGGCGGCGGCTGCTGCCAATGCAGACGCTGTAGCTCAGGGTCGTAGCAAGGATAGGGAACAGCTGGAGAGCCTCATGGCGATTACGACGCGCATGGTGCGTGGGTGTGTCTTTGTGGGTGACTCCACGCCGTGACGAGTCACCTCACCCGTCCGCTTACAATGACGGGGCGGGAGGGCGCTGGGAGGAGCCGGTACCTGAAGTTATGGACGAGAAAGGAAAGCCTGGTGGGATGTGTGGGTCGGTCACCATGTGCCGTGATGCCATGTCTATGGACCTAACTACGCAGCTCCGAATCCGGGACAGGCGCGGTCGGCGCCAAAACACAGCAAGCACCTCAATCTCTTTCCTCTCAGGTATATTGATACGCGCCTGCTTGAACTTGAACTTGGACTTGGACTTGGACTGCATTCCCTAGGCATGTACTTTCGGTGTGCGGAGGTGAATTTCCTTTGCGATGGATTTTCGAACCCAAACGAACGCACCACCATTCCGCTTAAAATTTGCAGCTGAAGCGCCCAGGCCTGCAGCGTGAGGTGGTGATGTGCATGATGGAGGATTCGGAGGTTCGCGACCTCATGCTGCGGCAGTGCACCGATCTGGTAAGAGACTGGGTGGGATGTTGGGCGGAGGGGGGCGGAGGGGGGAGGGCGAGAAGATTAAATGTTGGGCATGGCGTGGACAAGGAAGCCCTGCAGGTCAAAGCGTTGGTTTTGAGGGGCCGGACATCGCGAGAAACCCTGCATAATAACTGCGCAGGGCGGGGTAAAAAGAAAACCCCAATGGCTTAATGCAGCGGGTGCAGTTGGGCTCCACAAGAGTTCACTTACCTACCGCTGGCACCGATCACCGTCAATGGGTGGATGCCTGTGAATAATTTTTTAGTTCTCTGCCGTCCTTTTTTTCCTCTTATTCCATCCGCTCTCCCGTCCACGAGGGATCGAGGTCAGCATCAAGTGTGCCATGTATGTCACCCGAGCAGCGAAGCACGGAAGGCGCCGCCACGTGCATGCGTGCATTCCCACGTCCGTGTTATGTTATGTCATGTGTATAAGTAACCCGAGTCTCGTCTGTTCCAGTGGGATTTCGTTACTTTTAGTTCCTATGTCGGCTTCTCAATTACGGCTCTCCTCGTGTTTTGCCTTTAGGACCGCTACCTGCTAGCTGCTGGCATCCACAACCCCGCGCTGCTGCCACCGCCACCTTCGGAGAGCCTGGAGATTGGAAACCCGGAGGGCGACAGGAGTGCGAGGGCGGGCGCTACGGACACGCCGACGCCCAAGAAGTCGGCTTCGGCCAGCTCTCGCGGCTCCCCCCTAATTTCCCGCCTTGTGGGTGTTGTGGCAGGCGCCTTGGAGCGGGCTGGCGATGTGCTGGCGTCACTGGGCAACTGGCTCCGAAGGCAGGTGCTGGCTGCATTCCCGCAGGATGACGACGGGGACGAGCACGCTGCGGCAGAGGCTTACGAGGGAGGCAGCGGCCCACGGGGCCAGCGCACAGCCAACCAGGTGGGAGTGGGAATGGAAGTCCTCCGAAAATTGTTCGGGAGCAAATCGGACCCTTTCTCCTGGCGTGGCGTTTGGGGCTACGTACAGCGTAAGCCTTCGGAAAAGCTGGACCACGCGCGCCACCTCTTCTTCGCGACATAACGACATTGTGGTCGTCTTGCTTTCCTTTGCTCTCCTCTCCTCTCCTCGCACCCATCACACTGTAGGAGTGACTTCTGCAACTGGTCGTGCCTCTCGCTTCACCATTTATCCTCTTAACCCCCCATCCCTTTGCTTCAATCGTCAGTGGTTCGTCTTATCTCTCTCCCCTCCCCCCAACATCACCGTCGCGATTTTCACTCGCCTCACTCGCCAGAGGCGCCTGTGTTTGTGGCGCAGGTACTTGGTGGCGTGATGGTTCTGGTGGTGGCGGTGTTCTGTGTGGCTGTCATTCGCCGGCCGCTGGTGCTGCACGCGTTGCGCCGCCGATAAAAAAACATTTTGCTTTGCAGTTTCCCTTCGCCCTGTTCATCCATGGGCTTCAAGGGAAAAACGGCTTACGACACACAAGATAGGGAAAAGACTTGTATGGGCTCTTAAGGATCAGAGAGGCTCTGTTCGCATCCGAGCCCGAGGGGCCAAATACTGTTTGTAGTGGGCTTGGTCTGGTGTGATGCGCCGATTTGACGGTGTTGATCATGTCATGGCGATGTCCGATCTAATATTTTTCAGTTGTGTTCTATAAGCTGTGTACGATAACTTGATGTGCCATGTATGTTCGGCCAATTACTGATCCACAGCCAGACAGCGACTCAGGCGCAAGGACACACTTGGCTCTCACTTGGCCGCGGCGCAGGTTTGGCTTTTGTACAATTTTGTGTAAGATGGCGGTGGATGTCCTTTGTTGGCTCCTAGAATGTTGCATGGGCGGTAATGCCAGGGTAATGCCCTTGACGTTGTGACGATACTGCGACGGCAGCGTTGTTGAGAGGGCGTCCTTCCCCGTTTCAGGAGAGGTTTGCTGCGGATAAATTTTCGGGGGCATCTTCTGCACGTGTGTACTTTTCCAAGTACTAAAGAGAGCAAACACGGCCACACACCTCTGTGCGCGTTTATTGTAATACATAGCGTAAAGCTAGCTAGTCGCATAGCAATGTCTTCAACCGTTATTATGCTGACTTCCTCGGAATTTAGCATAGTTTGGTTGAGTGTATTTTAATAGCATCGTAGTATGTGTGTATTTCCGGCATGACCGTATGCATATGTCGTGCTGCATACGTCATGGGGGATGCTGTTTGTGTTGACTTAATCTAACCTCTCAACTTCTCCGTCGTCCTTTTGACGAGATTAAAAATCAGGCGGAGGTTGGGGGACGGGTGTAGGGCCTGGGATTTGTACGGCGTAACAACATGTATGTATACATGTTTCCACAAATTGATAGCGCACGTTGCAAAATCCTCCTTTGATTTGGCGCTTTTGTCGTTCATAAAGTTGATGTTTAGTAAATGTAATTCTATCACCCCAATTCCTTTAGTAAATGTAATTCTATCACCCCCATTCCTTGCGTGGAGGCTTTCACCCGCATAACCACTGGTGTGTGGATGCGCATGCAAATCGTCACACACAGCCAGTACATTACATTTCTCGAGCTACATAAAAATGCGATTCGTCCGTCCAAGGAAATATGTCTGATGTGGTAAATGTTAAGCAACTGCAACCTCACGCAATTGCATCAACAACAGGACCCAACTTTTAGTTCCCAACTCGTTTGCGTCTGGCCAACCTATTGCGACCGCACCGCCGAAAAACAGACTCGAGAGACTACTTTACCTCGCTCTCAGAACAAAGGCAGAAAACTGTAGGAGGATATGGAGGAGGAGGAGGGAGGAAAAACGGCCCTTCACATACTTCCTGCACGTCACCGCAATCGGCGGTAGCCGCCGCCGCCGCAGCAGCTCAACACGAGGGGTAGAACGCAGCTCTCCTTCACAACGCACAAAAACGTGGGCAAGCCTGATCCAACCAACTAAATAACAGAAACGACCGAACCAGTCAATCAACGGATGAAACTGTACACAGGCCAGCCTGTTACCGGCCGTGGCGAAAGGGCCCCTCCTTACCCTATACTCTCTTTCCCCCGCTCCCCCCCTTTGGACAGCACCTTCCTTTTTGCAGTGCCTCTCAGTCCGGCCATTTGCCCGAAACCCCCGTCCCCCATTCGGCCCTGTCATTTCTCCCACAGACCCTCGCTCCTCTCCCTCCGCTCGAGAGGAAGGAAGGAAGGAGGTTTAAGAAGGGGGGAAAGGAAAGCCTGGCTCTCACCTCTGGCTTTCACCGCCAAATCGTCGCTTTGGAATCGTAAATGTAAATTTCCAGCGGCCGCTTTGCTCCAATTTCCAGCGGCCGCTTTCCTCTCCCACACAAAAAAGGGCGGTATAGTAAATGTTATACGACGGAGACAGGGTAGGTAGCCCAGGATAAGTACCAGCCCCTGCCTCAAGCCAACCCCCTCGCAGCGGCATGGAGCCGTGCCGCCTCGCGGCGGCTCATGTCTCCGTTGTTGGCCCGGATAAAGTAGGCGTTCGCGCCGTACAGCTCCTCCAGGGATGGCGCATTCCGGTGGGCGTCACTGTACTGCGACAAGTTAACGTACTCCCCCGCGCTGCCGCCAGCCGAGCCGGCGGCTGTATCCCCGGCGGCGCCACCTGCCCGGGGTGGGGGTTTGTGTGTGTATGTGTGGGTTGTGTGGGAGAAGACGAACCACGAACGAATGAAGCTGGGGGGGGGAGTGGTTGTGTGTGTGGGGGGGGGGGTTAGAAGGGGTATGGGTATGCACGGAAGAATTCAACTGGCAAGGGGGTCGGTGCGATCATATGCAAAAGATGCAAAGGAGATTCACGCACGCGCCCCAAACCCGCACCCACCTCCCGGGGGCCCCCAAGCCGCTCTGCAATACACACACGTGACGACCTGACCACTGGACCGCTTGCTGCTGGCCCAACGGCTGGGGAACGGAACAATGAGCAGCAGCAGCAGCAGTAGCAGTAGCAGCAGTAGTAGCAGCAGACCGACATACAGACAAGAGGGAGGAGGGTGGTGAAAGAGAGCGGGGTTCGGGGGTAATCACGAGTCAAGACAGGAAGGCAGGAACAGGAAACTTCGTGTGGTGGAAACATACATACATAAATACATACATACATGACATAAATACGTACATACATGCGAAGAAAAATTCCAAGCGTGAGCCATCCTCCCCAGTTACCGGCCGCGGCTCAGTTCTTCATTGAAAATTATTAAAAGGCACACGCTCATACAATTGATCAAAACTGTCAATGCCAAAGCAGTGAGGCCTCACACGGCGCCTAAGCCTAGTGGTCGCGCAAAATGAAAAGCGAATGCATGTCTCTCACGCGCCTTAAGGAAAGGAAAACAAACCCGCCAGCTCACGTCCATCCGATTCCCTCTCACTCTCGCCAAACCCCCCCACTCTCGCTCGCCATCATCCCCCCCCACCCTCGCTCACTCGAAGCAGGTCTTGTGCATGTTGTTGCCACAAGACATGCAAAACGTATTGGCCTCCGCTCCACGACCCCCCCCTGAAGGTGCCACCATCGCCTCGTAGCAGATGGGACAGTCGCCCTCCACAGGACGCTGCACGCCACCGCCACCACTAGCAGCGCCTGCGGGACACATGAAGCATTAGGAAAGCTACTAGGAACGTAGACGCGCAAAGTAAACATAACAACAACACACGGCAAGGGGTGCTTTGAAGGTTTTTGATGTCATGCGAGGAGGGGTAGGCCGGACGGGCCAGGAGGAACTGCCTCCACGAAACGGAAAAAGAAGAATTCAACCCCTTATTGTGGTTAAGGCTGCTAGCGCTTCAACATCGCATTTCATTGTCGGTGTCGAGTAGCTAAATTGCAGTTAAGGACGTCATCGATTCCCTGTGCCTGAGGCTCGGTTTGGGCGCGAAGATGCAAAGGAAGCGCTTCCTACGCGCAATTCCATGCAGGCGCGCATACGACGACGATGCCACCACCACCATCATCACCACAACCGCCATCATCACACAACCGTGGTCACACCTAGCTGCGCTCTCTCACCCACCCGCCGCGCCGCTGCTGCTGCTGCCTCCCGCAACTGCCGCGTAGCGTTGCCGTACTAGCTCCGTCGCCAGCACCGACTGATCCACAGCGGCGGTTCCGGAGCCTGCCGCCGCCAGCGGACCCAGCACCTCCTCCACTTCGCGAGTCAGTAGGCCTTTCTACCGGGTGGTGGGCGAGCGGTAGTGGTGAGGACCCAGAGGTAAAGCGGGAGCCCAAGCGTGATCAGGAGGCGGGAAGGGGTGTGTGTGTGCGCGCGCGCGTGTGTGTGTGTGTGTGTATCTCGGGGGAATGATGGTGCAATATTTCTAAAACAAGAGGCAACAACTCTTTTCTTTTTTCGGCGCGTTCTGCCAGCAGCAGCACCGCGAGGGCGGGAAGGTCTGGTCAGCTGGCGATGGATTCATCATCGGTGGCGTGGTTTTAAGTACGCTTAAAAGGAATATCCCACCTAAGCGCTGTTTGGTTAAGAGAGATTAAGAAAGAGAAAACAACTAGTAGGGGTAGTAGAGGTCCCAGGATAGCGCGCTGCCTCTACCCTCCCCCTGAGGGCAGGAGGACCCCCTCATAGCATTCCTAGGACGGCTGGGAGGGCGCCTAGGTAGTGGTGGTGATGGCAACAGTCAAACTTCAATGGTGGCGTCGACACTAGCTAGCTGCATAGCGATTCCGATAGCGATTCACGTCGCGAAGGACAACAAGGCAAACCGCTTGCTCCCTCTGCTCTACTTCAAAGCTGCTGCTTTTTCGTCAAAGGTCCGCCTCTTCTTCTTACATGGATGGATACATCCGAGTCCAAGAGAGCTCCGTGCAGCGACGGCGGCTGTAGGGGCCGCCAGCAATACCGCCCCTAACACGCTCCATTCCCGGCACCTCAGCAGCAACACCCTAAACCCTCCGACCACAGCGGGGCTTGGGCCGCTCCCCTTCCACACACAAAGTTACTATGTATACATATTAAATCTTATATATAATATATTATATACATACATACACACACCTGCCATATAACCGGGTTGTCTGGGCTCTGTCGCAGCACCCTCAGCATCACAAACAGCACGTGCTTGCACAGGTGGCCCTTGGCAAAGTCGGGACAGGAGCAGCTGGGGCTGCGGCTGATGACGACGGTGTACACTGCGATGACCGGGTTTCGTTTGGTTGGGCACAGGTAGGTGGGCAGTGGGTGCCATATTAGTTGGGAAGGTAGTTGGGAAGTTTAGTTGGGAAGGTTGGTTGGGCCGGTAAAGAGGGGGAAAGAGGAAGAGGCCACACATCACATGGGTTCGCGCAGTTGCGGCTACCGGTCCTCCCATGCTACTGCTGCGCCCATGTACTCCTCAAGCAGCGAGTGGAGTACTTGAGAGGGGCCGGTGGTCCCCCCCCGGGGCTTGTGGCCTTGCGGCCGATCAGCTCGGTTCCCATCCCTTCCCAGCTGGCAGCCAAATACCCGGAGACTCCGGACCTTCCATCAGGGATATGAGGACCTGCAACCCACATCGCAACCCACATCGCAACCCACATCGCAACCCACATCGCAACCCACATCGCAACCCACATCGCAACCCACATCGCAACCCACATCGCAACCCACATCGCAACCCAAATCGTAACTCAGATCACAAAATCAAATCGCAGTTCGGATCCCGATCCAAGGCGCCCTCTTAATCCAAGGGCCATGCAGGCGGTCATCAGAAGCTTGCTGATTGTTCCACCTGTTCCGCCGCCTCATCCCTTCCCCTCCCCTCCCCTCCCCTCCGCTCCCTCCCCCTTTCAGCTTCTCCCCTTCCCTCCCCTCCCCTCGCTTCCCCTCCCCTTCCCTCCTCAGCTTCTCCCCTCTTCCCTCCCCCTTCCCCCCCTCACCATTGCCGGTGGCTCCCAGGACGTGGAACTCCTGCGCAGGTCCGTCGGAGGACCCGGGGGCCGACAGCTGCTTGGAGTCCACCAGGAACATGCGGTGTGCGGAGCCTGAGGGGGACGTGCTCAGAGGGCAGAGGCAGGGGGAAGGAAAACAACATAATGGCAGAAGTTCCAATGAAGACGAACAAGCAGAAGGACTGTGGTGAAGTGGACGGCGTTAAATTGTGGACTGTGGTGTAGTGAGGTACAGTCTTTCTCATGTTTGGGGTGTAGGTGCAGGTTGGGGCGGCTTCCTAGAGCGGGAGTGGGGCAGGATGGTGGAGTCGTCTGGAGGGCACGGAGTTTTTCTATGCTTGGATATGCTACACCGTTGCGCGTCCGAAAATTGGGATCTTGTATGGAGAAGTTCTTTGCAGCATTACTTAATTAAAAGTAAAGCTGTTTAATTGGGCTTCATGGAAACCACGTTCATTTTTCAAGCTTGGCACGGAGTTTCGGGGCAACGCTTAGGGTTTAACAGCATGTATGTCGCAGCGTTATCAAAAGAGCAGCAGACCTGGCATCGCGCGCTGTATCCTCGCGTACACTTCCCGTGACGGCGTGGATCTATATTTGGCTATGCGACCCATGCAGTCCACACGATGCTCCTTCTCCGGCGCCTCGGCCTTCTTGGTTTTCCGCTTGCCTCCGCGAGGGGCATCGGCATTACCCGTAGAAGGGCACTGCGACGTTGGATGCTCCCCTCCTCCGTCCCTGCTGCTAGCTAAGGCCTCCTCAGCATCTGCAGCTGATGCGACTGGTTTTCGACGAGTGCTGCTTGCGCGGCGACGCTTTTTGTCCTCAAGAGAGTCATCGCTGTCGCTTCCTAACGATATGTCAATAATTGATTGAGCTTTCTTGCGCTTCGGAGCCATAGCTTGCAATAGGTGTATCTGCAGTGGTGAATAAACCAAAAAATGCTTAGGCTTTTCCACGTCCAACCTGTTAACGCGGTGTTGGTTAGTCTTATTTAGCAGCAAGCTTGGCAGTCGGTAAAGCATTCCTGTACAGTCATAATATCATGAGAGCTCGAGGCGTAGAGATGGTATGTTTTTGCTCGGCCAGTACGGGTTCCGACAATAGTCTACAGAGCCTAAAGGATACGCCATGGCGTATGAGAAGCTAGCTGACATGATCTACTGTTTAACCAACTAGTAAAGAAGCAATGATAGCACAATCACCTGACGGACCTCTCTGACCTGACGACGCCCTCACGACCACTAAGGATGGAAGACCAGCAGGGCTTTCATAATGATCAACAAGCCCGTGGGCGCGGAGCGGCACTGTTCAAGCACGGCCTTGGCTTTGGCGGGTACGCATCGGGCGGGGGCTTGTCGTTACAGCTGGTTGTAGCTGTTAGGGCTCTGTACACAACTTCTCGGACCGCATCCAAAGATATTTCGGTCTCCGTAGTCGGCGTACTTGGGGAATAGCCCACGCTGGCACCTGGATGGCTGCGTCACCCCCCAATGCTCTCCACTTCGACGCCCCTACACATTACCGACTGTCCACTACCGCCGCCCAGGCCCACCACAGGCACCACAGCTTGTATGGTGCGTCTGTGTAAAAGGGGGACGAATTCAATGAAGAGTTCTTGCCCGCACGGGGCACTGCGTGGTGCATCCGCAGCGGCAGTTCAAACGCGAAGCCGCCGCTGCCCCATCACCGTAACTGCCGCCGCCGCCACCGCCGCTGCCGCTGCCGTACACTCCTGCAGGTCAACCTCCGCCGCGTCTTCATCGGGTAAAGATGCGGGCTCAGGTCATGGTGCGGACCAGCAGAAGCCACAGCAGCTGCCAGGGGGCGCGCCGCCGCCGTCAGGCCCGGGCGCCGTAGCGGGGGGACCGACGGCGCCGCCGCCCGCATACCCCTACCCCCCCTACCCCTCGTACCCGCACTACCCCCCGCCTGGTCCCTACCCTCCAGCGGGGCAGCACTACGGAAGCGGCTATCCTCCGCATCCGCAGCAGGCGCCGCCGCCAGGAGCGCCGCCGCCGCCACAGCAGCATCACCACCATCATCACCACCAACAACAACATCCTCCGCCACCGTACCCGCCGCCGTACCCGGGGGCGACTCAGCCGCCGCCGCCGGCGAGCTACATGCCCGGTAGGTATATGTATGTATGTATGTGTGTGGAGGGGTACGTGTGGGTATGTGTCTCATGCCCCTTCCAGAATCGGGAGGGAGGGTGAAGAGGAGGGGGGGGTGATGTGAAGAGGCACACCAAGCTGAGGTAGATGGTGAAGGTGAGTGATTGGGGCTGTGTGTGATCCCCGTCGCTTCCGGCACCGCGAAGACCTGCTGCCGAACGCTGCTGCCTATGGCACTGCCGTACAGGGTATGCGCCGCCAGGGGCGCCGCCGTCGGGCTATCCCCCCGGCTACGGGCCGCCGCCGCCACCCGCCGTACGGGCCCCGCTGCCACCCCCGCCAGGCTACCCCGCCCTCGGGTATCCCCCGCCAGCCTACCCCCCGCACTACCCGCCGCGACCGCAGGTGAGGTGGATACACACACACACATACACACACACGCCCCGCCGCTTTAGCCCCGGCCCCGAAACCACTTCTCTTTCCCCTTACCCCTCTCTGTCATCCCCTTGGCCGCACCTGCGACCAAGGGAATTTTTCTAAGAACCCCCGTTTCGTTTTGACGCCTTCTAGCAACAGGTGACCCTTCCGTGATCCGTTGTAGCATGTAGGTTAAAGCTATCTATCACAACAAGCAGGTTTGAATATTTCCGCAGCGTTATAGGTTTTTTCATCATGAATGAAATGCTGCACGACGTTTGATATTTAGGCCGCATGTGAGCCCCAATAGGGCCCTAT